TATAAGCTCTTGTGTGTGTGTTAACTTCAAAGGATAATAGAAGCGCTCGTCTGTGTATTAACTTCAAATGATAATATAAGCTCTTGTGTGTCTTTACTTAACTAGAAAATACAAGAGTAACATTCAGGTCAAAGGTTTTACCTTAAGTAACAATCAAAGATGATAAAACATTTAACGTGATGATTCCAATCACATAATGGATGCAACCATTTAATAACTAGACTTTAGTCAAAGTAAAAAACAAAAGGAAAATAAAATCCTACTTGATGTTAATATTAAAAGCAAATGAAGTTAAAACAAAACAATTAAAGTTTGCTTATATTAAAAACAAGCACAGATTGGTTATTTTCTTGTAATCCACGTACCTCTCATTTACTCTTTAATCCATTATATCATAATTTATTTTTAAATTCCAAACTTCAAACTAAAGATGTCTTCAAAAATAATTTTGATCCAAGAAAAGTTATAGCTCTTTGATTTTTAAAGAGCGTGTCATTGAAAAAAAAAAAAAACTTAAACTGAAATGATACGTCATTATCTATGTTAAAAATGAAACGTATGAATTAATTTTGTATCTTGTTTTAACCAGGAAATCCATAGAAAAAATCCAGCAGAAGGCCTACAAGTTGTGGCGATTTCAGTTCTTTGAGTTGACCAGATCTTTCTCAAAAGTCATGTTTTTACCACTTCCGTTTACAGTGATTTCTATCGGTGCAGTTGTGTGTGATGAGGAGAGAAGAGACGAGGATGGCTTCTGTGAGATATTTTTTGTGTGTGTTCATTTGCTTCGTGAAAATATTCATAAGAGATTATCCGTAAAACATCAGAAATTATTATAAAATAGTTAAGCGCTTAATTACAAGTTATGGTTTAAACAATAAGTAAATGTCAATTGATAATTTGGCGAAGCATAAAATTTGCACCTTAAATCCTTTAAATTTGACCATTCAAATCCAGCAATATCCGACAGCAGAATCAAAAAAGTTCTTCAGCAAATCAAAGAAACAAAAAAGAAGCTGTACGACCGATTGCCAACCAGTAAACTAAATGGTTCTCTTCAAGACAGTGATATGGCGTGCTGCTTGGCAGGGATCAGTAACAAGTTTAAAGTGATCAAAAAGTGTGTCAAGCACCCCCATAAGGAAAACAGCTCCGAGGAAAGGGATTCTGCGTTCAGCGACTTGAAAGAAATGATTTACAATTACGGCACATATCTAAAGAAAACCGAACTAATAAAGGGGCTTGAGGAAACGGTTGACAGAATTGAGGAGCCGAATAGTCCAGTTGATGAAACGCATATTTCAAATTTGAAGACGTTTATCACTGAATATGGAAGTTCAGTTTCTAAGCACCTGCATAGAGCTAACACACATAAAAGAACAGAACTAAAGCTAAAATACACGTTCACAGAAATTAAAGTGCTGGAAAGCGATTTCCCGGCAGTCCAACCAATTGTTTCAAATTTAAGAGTTAACATAAGTTGCATTGAGAGATTGCATTTCATTGAGGAAATGAAAAAATGCATTTTTGAAATAGAGAAACAGAACACGATTGACACTAAAGGGAATCAAATCCAAAAGCAGTTAATGAAGAAATGGAACCCGATTGCTGGTAAAGATAATAAGATACACATTCTTTTTAAAGAGCTTCTGGATCTATCAGAAAAACTTGAAGAATTAAATTTAGGAGCTTCAAGAAACGATTCCGTCAAGCAAGAAAGGACAACGCTACGTGAAATCAGGAGACGATTACTCGACTTGCAGAAAGCTTTATACAAAATACCCATATCCAGCCAATCCCGTCTGGAGGTCAAGGACATGTTGGGCAGTTCGACCAGAGAAAAGATTCGAGGCCTGCTGACAGCTATCAACTACTACTGGCAGATCAGCTGTGACTGTAAGATGCTACAACCTTTGGATGATCTTGAAAAGCTGATGCTTCAAAACCCGTTTGATGACGAGTACTGCCAAATGAGAGCCAAGATTAAGGACCTCGAATCGTTCATTTTACAGAGCCATATTGAGCCAATGTTGCAGATGAAAAGAAATAGCAGCAAGCCTGACAGGTACATTTTTCATCATCGATATTATATCATTGATCTACTAATCATACATGAACGATGCAACCATAACAAACTTAACAGGGAAAAGTACATTTCAGACCTCGCTGCTAAATCTTCTTTTTTAAAAATCTCTGACTGATTGTTATGGATTAGTTCTCATGGTTAATTTAAATCCTAACAGCTCTTTTTTTATTTACGGCACACTGCGCTTGGGGGGGGGGGGGGATAATCCCCGTGTAAAGATTCATAATGTAGTATGGCTTTTGTATGATACATACTTTGCAATTTACTTGGACAAAAGTGATATCTGTACATGAAGTTTTCTCTCTCATCAAAGCAATGCAACTAATTATTTGTTTTTAGCAAAAAGGCAAAACTTAAAACATATTCATGAATGCAAGAAATAAATGAAAGGACTGCTTTCAAGCTTAGTAAATGAATGAAATAGCAAAACGAGGTATGTGGAAGCTTGAAATAAGATAACAGGACAAAAAACAAGGACGTTTCGGCATAAAGCCTTCCTCAGCGCGCATTTCAGTATGTTTAATTATGAATAACATATGCTCCTCTTGTTGTTTTGTCTTCCTCATAATTACCATTTATCTCTTAGTGTCAAAGAGAAAACCATAGAAACTTCTACAAACATTTCACCTATAACGGAATATGGTACGTTAAACTACGTGTAACATAACTCCTATGAATAATGTGCTGAGTGAAAAAACTGGATAAAAATAATTTTGCATTGAAATAAACACCAATGGTGTCAATTATGAAGCACTTACGTGTTGTATATTATGTCAACTGTGTGATCTATTTGCTTGGAGAAAATTAATTATCTGTTAGAATTACAAGAAGTTATTTTAAAGTGTAAGCGATTTAGTTGTATATCACATATTTTATCTTCAATTACCAAGGACACAAAGTAGCACCGCGGGTCCCTGGAAAGACAGAAAGGTAAATTTTAGATTTGTAAAAAATGTGTATCTACGGAATAAGTTTAGAATACTTATAAAATCAACAATATAGAAATTATGATAAATTATAAATTATGTATTGTAAGGCTATGCAAAGTCTGAATGATTCTTCTTGTTAAATTATTCAATGAAATTTAATTGTTATAAAAAAAAATGTGTTGTTTTTTATTGAAGTGCTCGACCACAAAACGCTGCTGAAGATGACATTGGTAAGTCATGAACTCTGATGTAAATGTTCCATTTAATGATTTCTTTTTCTTTTTTTTTTTTTTTTTTTTTTTTGGGGTGGGGAATGGTGAGTTAATTTATTGAACATTTAACCAAATAAAGCAACAGGTTACATTCGTCTTTTGTAAAGGGAAAACTTGTAGGAGGGAAAAATTCATGGGTGGGTGGGGGGAGGGACCTCTAGTCACAGTCATATGCAATCTATTTTTTTGTTTCAAATTTGCAATGTAAAGAGAGGTGTTAATAAAAAAAAAAGTTAGCAACTGTTCAGTGGTTTAATATTTGCATAAAATGACAAAATGTATTCCAGTTATATTGACACAATTGTTGTTACTTTTATCATAAAAGGGGAAATAACGAAATCTAAATAGTTGACCACAATTTAAAAATAGTCTCCCTGGTGGTGGTCAGCGTTGAGATTTTGAACGTTTGAACACAAAGTGGGTGGGGTTTAGGTGGAGGGGAATTTTTTTAAAGTTTTTGGTGCGTGGGGCAAATTTTGAAAAAAGAAAAAAAGGTTATTTGCAGGCCCTTAGTATGATCTTGATCATATGCATGTAATAGCCTACATTAACACACATTTCTAAAATCAATGTTAGTGTGTGGAGTGGTATTCATACAATTAGAAATGGTTTTTTGTTTGTTTTTTAAATCATGATTAAATCGTAAGTTTAGCGAAGTTCATTTATAATGTCAAGACATTGTAAAACCTTTGAAACTCTGTCAACTATCTTCTATTTTAATTTAAATCGTTTTGAATGGTATTTTTGTCTATTAAAGCACACATCACTTTTTGCTCTTAAAAATAGACTACTAGTACAATTTTGGTTAACAATCAATAAAAGTTTTATTTCCTTATGGTTTTGAATATTTACAGAAGACGCGCACTACACCCATTGGGTAAGTCGAGCGTATATAAATTTCTGTAGTGATAATCACAATAAAGATGAAAGAAATGTAATTGATGCCAATTAAAAAAAAGGTTTTAAATTAACTTCTATTATACATTATGTAGCTAGTGACTCACAGTAGCTATCGTATTTCTGTACACTATGGACTAAGCCACGCCTGCATAACATACGGCCAGCGGACCGCAAGCGGCCCACCAGCATCCACATTTTGGCCCGCGAAGTAACGAAATACTCTTTATTATTATTTTTTCAGTAGCTTTCCCCACTGTCCAATTATCTTTCGGCCCGCATACGTTTTTCAGAAAGTATTTCGGCCTGCCTTACATTTTGAGTTGTGCAGGCCTGGTCTATTTAAAATACATCAATACATTTTTAAAACCATTTTCAGACCTTTCCTTCATGGTCGAGTCATCTAATTATTTTATTATGAGTATTTGAAAATCATATGAATTTAATATTTTCATTAGGTTGTTTGAATAATATTTTTATTACTTTATTTTTTATATCATAATCATGATATTCTTTTATATTATTACATTATCATTATTATTATTTGCATTAACGGCAAAATTTATAGAAAAAAAAAATGGGGGTCCTCTAAATTTTAACCTCACATCAAGTGATACAATCAAATAAATGCAATGCTTATGTGTTACACAAAAAGATTTGTTAGAGATTAGACACTGTCTGTTTAACTCTGTGCGTCTCCTCTCTCTTTCTCATATCATCATATCTATTTATTTATTTTTAAAAACATATTTTTCTCTATCATGCCTTTCACAATTTATGAAAACGTTATAAAGATATCCTCACTCTCCACTCCAGGTCCCGATACAGAGTGACCACGACTATGTCACACGATTAAAAGATGCGAAACCATCAAAGGATGAACCTCAGTAGGTTAACAATGACTTCTTCTTCCCATAGAGCGGTGGTTCTCAAACTTCCTAACGCCACGACCATTTAATACAGTTCCTCATGTTGTTGTGACACCCCCCCCCCAACCAACCACAAAAAGAACCGTAAAATTATTTTCGTTGCTACTTCAGAAATGTGTGTTTTGCGATGGTCTTAGGCGACCCCTTTGTAAGGGTTGTTCGACCCCCCAAAGTGCTCGAGACCCACAGGTTGAGAACCGCTGTCTTAGAGCTTTGTGAAAGTCTGTTAGAGACAATTTATATTCTAAAAAATTCATTTGACTATCTTTTCTAATAGAACAACTTAGTAAAACATTCAGACTAATACGTTCTAGCAGAGAGATTATTAGCAAGAAGAAAAACACAGTTGAAAACAAGGAAAACGTTTCGAAGTTGTAAAACTCCTTTCCGATCATTCCCTTGGGATTTTCACTTAGTCCCGGTTCTCCCATTTCTTATTAGATTCAGTTGAGATAACTATGTAAAATAAAATAATGCATGCTAATTCATGGCATTAATGTATCCTATAAAAGCATTATCATTACCTCTGCAATAACTTCTCTACTCACTGTATGACAAATCTCGATAAAGCTTTGAGCAATATTTTAGAGAATGGGTTTAGGATGAGCTACACTACTTTTTGGGGAAAATATCCTACTTTAAAATAACATTTTATTGGGCTACGTTTAGGCCTATGGTGTCTTTCTTTAATTTTTATTTTTTTACTTTAGTTATTTAAAAAAAAAATTGAGTTAAACTTTTCCCCCCCATTATTATTAGACTGACATAGACGTCTATGTCGTGAATTAAATTTACTGCCGTAGAAATAATAGCACGCGTTATGAAATGTTTCATATGTGATCAACGTTTTCTAATGCTTTTTGTATGTCTTTCAGGGAACCAAAAACGCTCAAATTCAACCGCTACGACCATATATATAGAGTGGAGAGAAGGAGCTATTTGGGGAGGTATGAAGTGAAAGGAGATAATTTCCCGATCAATCCGTACTCAGATTCTGAGACGCCGGAGGAGCAGCTGAGTATCGAGCTGCCAAGATGGGGACCAAATCACTTTGGAATACCTGTAATCACAAGGTAGCTGCATCTTTTATGGGCTTTTCTTTACGTTTTTTGTTTTTTTTCTTTTTGTTCGTCACAGCACGTTTCGGTAATTAGACCAAACTAATGAAATCTGTTTCTCAAATAGAGGGTTGAGATCGGTGCCAATTCATGTTTAAGATAATTAGACCAACCTGATGATTTCTATTTTTCAAATAACGGGTTCAGAATTACAACAACAGCAACAACAACAAAAATGTCAACTGAAAGGAATTTATTATGCAAAGCAATTGCGTGTAAATGAGGCGACAATGGTGTGAGTGAGGCGACAATGGTGTGTGAGTAAGGCGACAATGGTGTGTGAGTAAGACGACAATGATGTGTGAGTAAGGCGACAATGGTGTGTGAGTAAGGCGACAATGGTGTGTAAGTAAGGCGACAATGGTGTGTGAGTAAGGCGAAAATTGGTGTGTGAGTAAGGCGACAATGGTGTGTGAGTAAGGCGACAATGATGTGTGAGTAAGGCGACAATGGTGTGTGAGTTAGGCGACAATGGTGTGTGAGTAAGGCGACAATGGTGTGTGAGTAAGGCGACAATGGTGTGTGAGTAAGGCGACAATGGTGTGTGAGTAAGGCGAAAATTGGTGTGTGAGTTAAGCGACAATGGTGTGTGAGTAAGGCGACAATGGTGTGTGAGTGAGGCGACAATGGTGTGTGAGTAAGGCGACAATGGTGTGTGAGTAAGGCGACAATGGTTTGTGAGTAAAGCGACAATGGTGTGTGAGTAAGGCGACAATGGTGTGTGAGTGAGGCGACATTGGTGTGTGAGTGAGGCGACAATGGTGTGTGAGTGAGGCGACATTGGTGTGTGAGTAAGGCGACAATGGTGTGTGAGTAAGGCGACAATGGTGTGTGAGTGAGGCGAATAATGATATGGACGGTGAGTTATGCTTTTAAATTTCTCACTGGAATAGATTGGACAACTCATCCATTCTATCCCCCCCCCCCCCCCCCCCCCTCCAACCAACCCAAATCACCTTTTTTTGATGAACTCTGGATCTGTAAAAAATTGTACTGATATTAATTTTTAGGGTAAAATTTGAATCTAAAGAGAAAAAAATTGCTAAGAAGGACAACAAGTCAGTCCTTGAGTTTCTAGTGGAAACAACAGATGACGGAAAGTATCACTTCCCAAAGGTAAGTTTTCATTAGAACGCTGTTACACTCAGGATTATAAAGGATAAACTGTTGAATTTAGGAATTTAGAATTGATTCTGGTCATAAAGTAAAGATGTTAAATATAAAAATGATGATAACGTATATATAATTTATAATTAAAATAGCGATAAAAGTAATAGATTGAAAAGAAAAATAAGCAAAGCTGGAAGTTCAGCAATAAAATAATATAGTGATAGAGGGAGACAATGCTCTCATGGGGAGAGACTGCAAAAAGGTTAGGTAGAAGAAACAAATGTAAAACAAAGTATTGGAAAACCTGAAGAAGAAAAAATGATGCGATAAATCAGCTTCATTTCGTATATTTTCAATATAAAAATACATCAATATATAATATACAGTTGATATATTTTTTTTAATATAACATTTTTTACAAAATCAGGTTAACATCTCTCCTTCACGTGATCTATTTATAACCTACATTAAAATCAAAGAAAGGGAGACAGCGGACTTAAAGAGAAATGCGGGAAGTAACCCAACACCACGGGTAGGTTTATTCCGTTTACTTCCCCTGATATAGTCTTCAAAAACCAGAGGCTCTTAACCAGAGACTACCGTGTCCCAAATCTGTGAAGTCAGAGCCGTCTCGTGACTTTTGGGAGCCCTTGACTCTTTCCGGTTTATTACCACACCCCATCCCCATCCCCCCCACACCCCCCCCCGGCCACTTTCTGATTTGTGCCCCCTGCACTCAAAGTTGAAAGTTTTAACATTACAAATGAGGGCCCCTTAAATGCCCGAGGGCTGCGAGTGTTGCAGGGCCCACGTGACAGACCTGGGTGCGGAATCAATGACAGTGTTGTAACAAGAATCAGAAATGTTTGACACAGATAAAAGAGAGAAAAAAATAAGAAAAAGGGGAAAATGACAACAATTTTACAATTTTGAAATGATTTCTCATTATTAAAATTTGTACGAACTAACAGGTTAGGGTAAGGTTGTATGTTTTAAAATTAAGTGAGGGTGCTGATCGGCAAAGACGCTGAGAGCCCCTGGTTTAATATAACTCTAAATAACTTTGAGTTTCAATGTTCCGTTTTATTTTAACATCATGGTTTACACTCTTTAGCCCCCGAAGCCGGAAAAGTCAACTATGAAATCAAAACAGCGCTGGAGAGTACCTTTCATGGTAAGACGTTGATGTGCTATGTAAGGAATCGTTTGCAAGGAGCTGAATGTGCATTGTAAACATATTTTTTGTCATTGAATTCAGTCCTCACCACTAATTACAAAACTTAAACATTTTGATTTTTTCAATTTCTATAAATACACAAGTTTGAAAAAAAAATGTTACGAAATGTGCTGAATCCACTTAGTAAGGCTACCATTCTGTTGATGCTACTATACACCATATTAATTTATAATTTTTTATGGTGAGCACAATATTTTTTTTACAACTAGAAAATTTGAACCGTTGTTACCGGGATAAAATAGTGGCAGGCGTAACGCGTTACTTTCTGACGGCCATTGCGATGTCTTTACACCCAAGTATCAAAATTTTAACAAAGTTACTTAATCGCATTTTTGACATATCTTGTAAAGGAAATGACGACAGATTTCCAGGTGCTTGAAATTTATATTAAAAAAAAAAAATAGTAAATCAGAATTTAAAAAATAAGTACCTACATATAGATGGTTACGTTTCTAACATGACAAAGTTTTGATAAATTTCTATCTTCTCTATTACATAGGCGTACACATCACCCCTGAATTACCAAAAATAAAATAAAATAAAAATAAATAAATAATGTATATAAGCATTTACTAGCATTAAGTAATAGTTTATGTAACATTTTAAATATTTGTAGCATAAAAAGGTTGGACATTTTGATATCTTCATTAAGAATATACCCAACCCTTTGACTCTCTTCTGAACTATATTATACAAAAAATCCTTCGAAAGAACACACTTAATTTTAAATCTAAAAAGTATTTGTTAACCAATTTTCATCTTGTGTGGGTGTTTTTTTTTTTTTAAAGTAATATTAATCTCGTAAACTTTACTCGCACTAGTTCAAGAACTGTATTTACGCTAGGTGGAATGACAAATATTATTACCTTGTAAAAAAAAAAAAACTTAACCAATCGTTGTTCACACCACCTTAATTATTTTTCGGTAAATGAAAACTGGGCTCTATTTTTAAAGGTTAAATTTTTAATTGTAAAAAAAATGATTGGGTTTTGAAATATTGTTATCCCCTTAAAGATATTCCCACCCTCTTTCTTGCGCACTTGAAATGTAATGTAAAAAAGTTTTTAAAAAGAGTTAACGCCTATGATATTGTTTTTGTGAAAAAATAAAATGTTACATTCTCTTTTTATGAATATGTGTATTTCATGGTGCCCAAGGCAATACAAGAGACGTCACAAAATAAAGGAATTAATTTGATTAATAATTAACCTTCTTGGGTACATACATATCGAAGATAGGATAAAGGATGTGTACATTTTAACGTGGATGACAATATATTTAAATTCTCTGGTATTACATTTGTGAAAAAGAGTTGTTAAATTCTCTTTTTAAAGATAAACATATGTTTACCAATTAAGAAAATCAATGGCGTTAACAAATCTTGGGTACATTCATTTAAGTATATCCATGAATATCAAAACCCACCCATTTTCCACGCTTGAAATTTAAATTTTGACAAATGAAGATTGGTTAAAATTTTATTTGGAAAAAAAATGAAAATATATTTTTTTTGTTACTTTGCAAAAAGTAAAGAGGTGTGTATTTTTATGAGATTAACACTTTAATTTTTTTTAAAGACAGTCAAGTCTGCTTTAGGCGTGAAAAACATTTTTTTAAAAGTCAATAATGTTTTTAATTTTTTTATGAAGATATCAATATACATCGAATTCATGTAGTACAAAATATATTGATATCATATATAGATTTTTTGGGTGTAAATTTAAGATTTTTTTTTTTTAAATTTTGAGAGAAAAAAAATTGAACGGCACGAAAAGGATAAATCTAAAGTATTTCTCTAGCGTAGTAATTGTCCCTCAATTAACTTCTTTAGTGACAAAAGTGATATAATTAGTGATAATTTACACTGGGTAATTTAAGGTCAAGTTTAGAGCGGGGAAAGTAGTTTAGGAGCGTGAAAGTGTGTAGGGTTATGCGTATCATATATAGCAGATAAACACTTCTCAAAACTAAATGATGTTAGAAACGTAAATATTACAATTTAAGAGTTATGAATTGGGATGAATTTTTGCAACAGCAGTTAGAAATTATCGCAAAGGACCTACCATTATTATCCCGATAACATCGGGTCATTTATTCTAGTTATATAGAACAAGTTAATACATTTAATGACGCGACATAAGCTAAAGAAAAACTTTTAGAAAGGCTGAGAAAGTATATGTTTTTCCCTAAATAATGTGATCGCAACCTTGTCCTTGATTTAATATATTGCAAATTGGCCCTATTCAAATGTACCATAATACTATGTACCAGACAACATTGTACTTTAATAATATTAACCATATTACCATATTAATCTGGACCATTTAACTACATTACTATTTTTCACCAGATAAAGAAAGCGTTTCCAAAATCTCAGGAGAATGATCGCAAGAAGAAACAGACCCAGATGCACATGAAACCAAACGATCAGATTCAGATGAGAAGTTGCCAGAAGACCAAAACGGTAAATTAAACATACGCATGTATAAGAAATATGTTTGCCCTGTAGGACTGACTCACTGGCTGCCAGCCCAAAAGTAGTTAACCCACACACGATACATTTGTTGGGTGATTTGATGATTATATCTTAGGCACCTAGTGCAATGAGGACCTTCAGAGATGCCGCTTTTAAGTTCTCTCCTATAAGGACACCAATGTACAACAGGTAAAAGATGTTACAGGTGTGAACAAATCTAAGGCATGTAGACTTTCTGTAAAAAATAAGGGGGAAAAAAAATGTTTCAAATTTTTTCTAGAAATAGCCTTCACGTGCTCAAGGGAATTGAAAAGGGTAAGATATATTTTTGTATGAGGATAACCACAACTATGAAAATGAAAGGGATTTCAGAGTTGATAAGGTTATTCGGTTTATCTGAAAAATTCGGCCTTTAGAAATACTTTTCTTCCTATCTGGTAAAGGTGGATTAAAATAGAGGGGTGTGTTTTGTCTAAACAAATGAAGATCGTGCATTAGTGAAAGTTTTTTTTTTTTTTTAGAATATTCTTTTAAATTAAGGAATAGGAGCCAGAATGATCAATTCATTGATCGTGGGCCCTTAAAATAAAGAAGAAGAAGAAGAATATCGTTGGTAACACATTAATTGAATTACATTTCAAAGCAGTGGCATTGGAAAATCAGGGGAAGTGGGTGGCAGCGTACTTAGAGTAGCGCTAAGACATCATCAAGCTTTTCATAATTTTTGTAAGCTTGAATTAAAATGATAAAAATTGTAAAAAAAAAAAAAATTAACACATCGAGAGATCCACGCGAAGAGAGCCATGTGAAGAGATCCATGTGAAGAGTCCACATAAAGAGAGATCCATGTGAAGAGATCCATGTGAAGATCAACGTTAAGAGAGATCCATGTGGAGAGATCCACGTTAAGAGAGATCCATGTGGAGAGATCCATGTGAAGATATCCACTTGAAGAAAGCCACGTGTAACGTCAAGAATCAATGTAAAGAAAATACGTTAGTTAACTGTTTCCTTTAACGTAACTTTTCAGATTTTCATCGGTCTGGCAGAGAGCGAAACGATGATGACCAAGCATAAATGGGCGGAGTTTAGGATCATCAACTACCACAATCCAAACACACACTACCAGCATGTCATAGATGCTTTAATAAACGAGGTTAGATAAATAGTTATGTTATTTTTTTGTTAGCCTGAAAACATCATAAGTGGGAAGGGTCGGGGTATGGGGGGCCATTTTAGGTGGGGGAGGGGGGAAAAGGGCAATTGCCACCATGTTGTTGTGTCGGAGGTGTGTGGATAAAGTGGGTGGGTCTAGGGGTATGTGGAGGCGTTTGTCGAGGGTATTTGTTTTTTGAGGACGTGGGTCCAGGGTGGGTCAAAAAATTGGCCGGCATAAAAAATAGATTAAACATGACCTACAATAGATTCAAGTAGCATTAACAAATATTCTCCTGCAAATCATTAAAGAAAATTTAAATCCTTAAGTAAATACATATTAATCCTCTTTTAGTTCATGCTAGATATTAACATTTCAAACTTGAAAGGAGCCTGCCTGAAGTTAAAATCGTACGAGCTTTTAAGCTGAAGAGATAACGCTCTACTAAGTCAACACATTCATTTGTTGACATGCTTTAAAAAAAAAAAAAAAAAAATTAGTTTCAAGTTTGCGTTATTAATCCTCTTTTTGTTTATGCTAAATATTAACATTTCAAAATTGAAAGGAGCCTGCCTGAAGTTAAAATCGTAAGAGCTTTTAAGCTGAAGAGATAACGCTCTAATAAGTCAAAACATTCATTTGTTGACATGCTTTAAAAAAAAAAAAAAAAAAATTAGTTTCAAGTTTGCGTCAAATTTTTGTATCAATGCACTATTTTGTGCGTAGTTTCATTTTTTGGTGGTGTTGTTTTTGGACCAAAATTAAAATTGGATCAAACAGTAATTCGAAAGTTGTGACGACAAGGCTTCATACAAAAATCGCATCAGTTGTATGAAAGAAAAAGGAATTCGGTCGTGTGAACTGAGCCTTAATATATTGTATAGCTTAAGAAATACAACTATACAATAAACGATGAAAACTCGTTATATTTTCAATTTCTAGTTTATACAAATAACCAGTGTCACCTCTGGTGTTTGGTTTTCTTTTTATTTACACACTCTATTTATCAACAATGTTTATTTATTTAAAAGTACTATTTATTTACAAGATTTTTTAGATTTATCTATTTATAAGATCTATTTATTTACAAGATCTATTTTTAAACGATCTATTTGTTTACAATTTTTTTTTTTATTTACTGCAACTGCCTAAGCTATAATGTTCGATTTATCTTTATCATTAAAAAAAAAAATATTAGCCCCTGTCGAATCTTCGGTGGATAGATTACAGCGCATACAGTCTGGTTGAGAACTTCACGGGCAAAGATATCTTTGCTTTTGTGTGTGGCCATCGGGGCTGTTACTTTGAAAAACGGCCAGGTACAGCCGGCAGATCTGCCCGTCCAAGAACGGCAAAGGTAGGGTTTCCCAAGGGAATATCTGAACCTGGGACATCTGCCCAGGGCATATCTGAACCATTGACGTCTGCCCCGGGCGTGCCTGAAAGAGGGACATCTGCCCAGGGCATATCTGAACCAGGAATATCCGCCCAGGACATATCTGAACCAGTGACATCTGATCAGGGCATATCTGAACCAAGGATATCTGCACATGGCATCTCGAAACAAGGGACATCTTCCCAGGGTAAATATGACCAGGATACACCTGCCCAGGGGAAATCTGAACAAGCCTAAGTAGGTAAAAATCTGAACAAACCATACCTGCTAAAGGCCAGATCTGAATAAGGTACATCAGCCCCCAAAATGGTTGTCTTCATTCCGTAGGTATCTGAACTATGGGCTGACAAAATGTTTTTTCAGTTTGAAATCTAAATCTGAGATATACAATGTGTTATTTTTAATAGTCATTTATTCGTTTCGTGCTCGTCCATTAACTTACTTAATATCCATAATCCCAACCCATCAACTTACGTCATATCCATAATCACAACCCATCAACTTACATCATATCCACAATCAGAACCTATTAATTTACATCATATCCACAATCACAACCCATCAACTTAAATTATATCCTCAATCACAACCCATTAACTTACATTATATACTCAATCACAACCCATTAACTTACATTATATACTCAATCACAACCCATTAACTTACATCATATCCACAAACAAAACCTATCACCTTACAGAATATCCACCACCCATTAACTTATATAATATCCACAACTACAACCCATTAACTTACAATAATTACGTTCACACCTAAGCCCATTTTTTCGTCTACACCCTATCCCCAACTACAACCCAATTTGCAATGTCGTGATCATAACAGTGAATGATCACAACTTGAAATGACTTTTAAATACATAAGTACATTCTTATTGTATCAATAGATGTTTAGAGATTCGACGTCCTGTTTTACGTTTTTAATCTATATCTTTCATAAGTTAAGAGTTTCCCTGCTACTTCGCAGCTATTTTTGAATGTGTGTCTAAACACGAAAAATTGTAATGTAGGTCCACAAAAGTTTTATCATTAAAATAGTTCACACGTACGTATATGTAGATAAGCTCTAACAAGAAATGTATTTAGGATAAAATCAATGTATTACAGAAGAAAAATGAAGTACACCGTGTATTGAACGTTTTGATAAAAACGAATAATTCATTAAGGTGTGTAAACATACTTGTATACGCCTACTTATAGTATTTTTATGCATGCTATTTTTAATTCCCTATATGGTGCAATGTTAAACTTTTGTAACCTGTACATTGAACTTTTCAATGAAATGTTTTGACATGTTTAAATAACGTACACCCATCAACGTTTAAAAGGTTTTTAACATATTACACCAAAAGAAATATGATAAATCAAAAATAGTTATTCAATATCAGAATTTTTATAACAGATTTTGATGATTGCCATCAACTTCTGCTCCTTCTGAAACGTAATATTTACCCTAATATAATCAACTTTGAAAAATGAAATTGTTAACTCTGTGTTTATTTTTTAAAATACTATGTCTATGATATTAAGACAATTAATATAGAATTAGATTTCACTTTGATTTTATGAAAATGTGAACGTGTTTTTGTGTGTATGTTAACATCTGGTTAAAAGCAGTAGTTACCTTACAGAAAAAATAAAGCTAATTGGAATTTGATTTTTTTTAATTTTTTTTTTTTTGTGATGGTTCAAGCACTTTATGGTTTGAAGCAACCCGTCATCAAAATACCATAGTTTGTCTTTTACTAAGTTCATATTCTGAAACGAAAAAGGCGGAGGAACTTATTTTCACCATAGAGAAACCATTCATTGGTGTCAGAAGGACGCAGCTGAGCTTTTTGACTTGACTAATGGGAATAAAAATGACGTTTTTCTCTGGCTTCTCTCAAAATCTGAAATATCCCTCCATACGCCTGGTAGTGGGGTATAACATGTGGCTCGTATTCCACTAATGTTGGGCTTATGTGTCATTGGTTGTGAGGCCTTCAATGTGTTATAAAAAAAAAACAAACAAACAACTGTGATACCCCTTATGGTTACACCGGTAACGTCACCAATGCTCTACGCTTCAGTGACTGTATTACGACTCGCTATTTTTAGCTAACAAATTGCGAAGATTATGTCATCCTACATTTTTTTTTCTTACTTAAAATGGTAATGTGTGTAATGTGTGTAATGTGTGTAATGTGTGTAATGTGTGTCCAGTTATCTTCAATCTGTTTCAGTTGGGTGTTTTAAGTCGTTTTGAATATACAAATGAACGTCTTCAATGTTTAAGAATACGAATACTAAAGCCTAAAGAATATACCATGAGATGGAATCTACAAGACTTCTTGGGTACATGTGGACATTGTTTATGTTAAATGGTGCGTGAATAACATTATTAAATCAATAAAAATGAGCTGTTGTTTCTTTCAAATTGTTCAATGGATTTATTTGAAGGAAAAATTTATTTATCTTTAGACGTATTTTTTTTAAGCGATCTATTATTTTTTTCAAATGGCTTTGCTACAAGGAAAGTACAGTCATGGTAGGGTCAGTCTTGGCGGGGGTCTGCCCCTTTTATATATGGACCCATTTTATTTTTAAAATGCATTAGAAGTTAATTCATATCATGTGTGTGTGTTTACAATCTATTCCTATATTTACATTAAAATGGTTTTATCCTTTCGCTCTAGAACCGGAAGTTGATTTGATAATACTCTTTAGCAAGTTCCTGATTCACCTTTATATGAAGTTACCTGTAGGAATTTCCAATACATCGAGTTAAAATAAGTAGATTTTAGATAAATATTCTTACAACACGTCGCGTTAAAATATCCAAGGTAAAAGTAACTAAACCTGATTACTAACGACCTGTTTCTCTGCGTACTAATCGGGACAGTACGTTAAAGGAATCATTTTTTTTCCCGCACATGAGTTTGAATTGGTTGGTCATCTGGCTGATGGGTGGAGGGAAAGGGTTTCAATACTGTGTATGTTCATCTTTAGCGCCGCACATGAGTTTGAATTGGTTGGTCATCTGGCTGATGGGTGGAGGGAAAGGGTTTCAATACTGTGTATGTTCATCTTTAGCGCCGCACATGAGTTTGAATTGGTTTGTCATCTGGCTGATGGGTGGAGGGAAAGGGTTTCAATACTGTGTATGTTCATCTTTAGCGCCGCACATGAGTTTGAATTGGTTGGTCATCTGGCTGATGGGTGGAGGGAAAGGGTTTCAATACTGTGTATGTTCATCTTTAGCGCCGCACATGAGTTTGAATTGGTTGGTCATCTGGCTGATGGGTGGAGGGAAAGGGTTTCAATACTGTGTATGTTCATCTTTAGCGCCGCACATGAGTTTGAATTGGTTGGTCATCTGGCTGATGGGTGGAGGGAAAGGGTTTCAATACTGTGTATGTTCATCTTTAGCGCCCACCCTCCTCACCCCTTCCAGAAATTAAACGTTTTCCGTTTTCTAGAGATGAGTTTTCTACTTTCAAATGTCAGCGTTCCCAGGGCTTGCAGTTTCAGATAATGTGAAAGAAGAATGTATGAGTAGCTGCATAAGGGATCGGCAGACACCAATGTCCGGTACGAGGGATACCTGTGATCTGTTAAGGACATATCTTCACTGTTACTTTAGGTGAGAAATACAATCTAGACATTTGCCCAAATGAAACAAATATTTTTAAATTAATTATTGTTGCTTTATATACGATGTGATATTTCAATAGTGTATTAAAAAGATAAGTGCAATAATTAATTTAAAAATTCCTTTACTCTTAATATTCATTTCATGAATCATATTTTTTTCAGCTTTGAATTGCAGCGTTGATAATAAATATTATGAACAATTTAAAATAACATCTCGCCGGCACCAAGATTCACTTTAACACACGTTTACCTATAGATGTTTTGAACACTTTATTGCAGTGCTTCTAATGTAGACGAGACTGCACTCGAACGACAGAGTTTGAAGTCGTTAAGTTCCACAGAGCTGCAGTTATACAGAAATGAAGACGGGCTTAGGCACACCCCTGAAGATCTTTACAAAGGCCACGAATGGACTGTTAGAAGAACATTAATAACTGCAGCCCCTGTCGTCGTACCGATCGTTTTGGGGATTTTCTTGAATTGCATGTGCAACTGCATGCCGGGGAAAATCCGTCTTCTCGGGATGGCCGTGTCAGTCCTCACATTTGTATACTTCAGCATGTAGCCTCTATCTTAAAGTGTCAGTCTTCACATTTGTATACTTCAGCATGTAGCCTCTATCTTAAAGTGTCAGTCTTCACATGTGTATACTTCAGCATGTAGCCTCTATCTTAAAGTGTCAGTCTTCACATGTGTATACTTCAGCATGTAGCCTCTATCTTAAAGTGTCAGTCTTCACATTTGTATACTTCAACATGTAGCCTCTATCTTAAAGTGTCAGTCTTTACATTTGTATACTTCAGCATGTAGCCTCTATCTTAAAGTGTCAGTCTTCACATGTGTATACTTCAGCATGTAGCCTCTATCTTGAAGTGTCAGTCTTCACATTTGTATACTTCAGCATGTAGCCTCTATCTTAAAGTGTCAGTCTTCACATTTGCATACTTCAGCATGTAGCCTCTATCTTAAAGTGTCAATCTTCACATTTGTATACTTCAGCATGTAGCCTCTATCTTGAAGCGTCAGTCTTCACATGTGTATACTTCAGCATGTAGCTTCTATCTTAAAGTGTCAGTCTTCACATTTGTATACTTCAGCATGTAGCCTCTATCTTAAAGTGTCAGTCTTCACATTTGTATACTTCAACATGCAGCCACTAAGTTAAAGCCATTTTTTTAAAAATAATTATATTTGATAATTTTTTTTTGCTTATTATTTTAAATCTTTAATTTTTCCCTAGTTATAATTGTGTACAATTATTGAGCCTTAAGAAATAAATATTCACTGACAAAATGTTATTTTATAAAGTGAAATTGAGAAAACGCTGATTTTATGAAGCTTTCAAAACAATTCAAAGCGGTTCAGAGTAGTAGCGGTCTACAACATGCGTACGAACTCTCTGGGGAAAGGCTACGAATGGTCATTTTGAGTGGGATTTAGCGAAGACTGTCTGACATTTTTTATATAGCATGTATAATGCAAGGGCCTAGGTTTATCGCTCGCAAATCATCATAGTTTAAAAACAAAATTGTGTGCATTATAGGGGTTAGACAAAATCGTGGGTCAGAGTTTTCATTCTTTTATTTTTTCATAATGTGTTCTTTATAAAAAATTAAGTTATGTAATAACTGCAGTTTATTTCGCTTCACTAATAACACTATAGCCTTAATACCCGGCAAAGCTGTGTTGTGTTGACGGTCTTTTATTCCCTCATCTCAAAAATTGATTGAAATAGCATCTTTAAGAAGACTCTAAACTTTAAAATACTTTTGATTTTTATCACAGAAGGCAGCTTAACACAGTATATTGGGATGCCAGTTATAAATCTGAGTAAAGTCAGTTTCAGATTCGCTTAATCAGATGTTTGGGCCTATCATTTGGATCAGAAGAGATGTCATTTAGCAGACCATTCCAGTAACGGTTGCAACAGTAGAGATGTCATTTAGCAGACCATTCCAGTAACGGTTGCAACAGTAGAGATGTCATTTAGCAGACCATTCCAGTAACGGTTGCAACAGTAGAGATGTCATTTAGCAGACAATTCCAGTAACTGTTGCAACAGTAGAGATGTCATTCAGCAAATATTTCAGGAACGTTTGCAACAGAGATGTCATTGAGCAAGCCTTAATTGATCAACAAGTGTACTAGATAAGCTTTGTTTAAATAGAGATCCATTAAACTGGCCTTATTAAGTCTTCAGTTTATTGTGCACTTTTTTTGCTACCCCTTTGGGCTATTAATTTACAGCTAAGTGCTATTTTTATTTAATGCTGTTTTTTTTTTTTTACTGTTGTTTGTTCGCTGATGAAGGCTTCGTTGCTTTCTTGCGTTCATGTGTTTCATGTTTTCCCATACTGTCTTTCACTCAAGCCAAAAGAACTAGCTCAGTGCCTTATTAAAATATTGGACTCTAAGCCAGAAACTAAATAAAGATTGTAACCTACACATTATAGAAAAGCTTGTTAACTTATTATGACATAAACTATTCTAATTTACGGCGACCAAGAAACTGGTTTCATATGACAGAAGACAGTATTTAAATATTACACACATCCATTAATAGTTTTAAGTATGCTGTCTTAAAAGTTCTAAGAAGTGGATCCCCACGATAAGCTGCCGCCCAAAGAGGATGATGATACATAATATGTTCCGATACATTGTTTTTAAGAGACACATTTTGTAAAACCTATGTCACTGTAAGTTAACATAATATTATCCTGTCGTGCAACACAAGATTTTTCAACCCAAAAGCAGCAAACAAGTAAATGCATGTTACAATCAGTTTTAAACTCTACCAAGACATAATATGCTAACGAGACCGAGCGCCTCCGTGTAGCTTTCGAGAAATACAAATACCTTTAAATCAATATTTTATCTAGACCCTTTCTTGGAATTTTTTTTTTTTACGAAGTCGTTTTATTGAAAATCTTAGCCTTAAGAAAAGCTCTGAATAGATCTTACGTATCTATATTTAGTCGATAGTGTTATACAAATGTTGCAGTCGTGCCGGTCGTTTCTTGTGGTCTGTGAATGGCAAAACGTCATTTGCAAAAATTGATTCTAAAGTTTTAAAGAAACTTTTTATACTTGTTGCTTACTTACGGCTTGTTCTTATGGGGGCCTATTGAAACATCTTTTAATTTATAAATGTTACGTTTAATTTTGCGTACATCTAAGAAATTCAAATATAAGAGATCGTTTTATTTTATTTATTTTTTTTGTTATTTTTAAATTGGTGGCTCTAAGGAAGTAACTATTTTGATTTTTAAAAATCAGTTTCTCAATTAGTCTTTAAAAGCACAAAGTGGTGCCCATTATAACATTATTATTTACCCCCATATGGTGATATAAGATAAATAGTTTACTTTTTAAAATTCATTTAATTAATTTTTTATGATTTCGAGTTATTAAAATTTGTTTTGAAATACCTGACAGCAGAATTACAATCAGTCGTTTCATGGTTGTTTGTCCTAGGTGCAACAGAAAGCCCGTCAGTACGATCAGTCGTATCAGATGACTGTCCTGTTGCCCACAGAAAGCCTGAATTTGTAATTAGTCGTCTGAGAGTTGGGTCCTAGTGGCCACAGACAACATGCCTCTCTGATTAGTTCTCTCAGAGGTGTGTCCTAGTGTTCACAAACAGCACGCCTGTCTGATTATTCCTCTCAGAGGTGTGTCCTAGTGTGTCCTAGTGGTCACAGAAATCACGTCTTTGTGATTAGTCATCTTAGAGGGATTGTCCTAGTTGCCATAGAAAGCCCGCCTTTGTATAAGTGTCCTCGTGGCCACAGACAGCATGCCTCTCTGATTAGGCCTCTCAGAGGTGTATCCTAGTGGCCACAGACTCTCTGATTAGTCCTCTCAGAGGTGTGTCCTAGTGGACACAGACAACATGCCTCTCTGATTAGGCCTCTCAGAGGTCTGTACTAGTGGCTACAGAAAGCCCGCATTTGTATTATTTGTCTTAGGGGAGTGTCCTAGTGACCACAGACAACACGCCTGTCTGATTATTCCTCTCAGAGGTGTGTCCTAGTGGTCACAGAAATCGAGTCTTTGTGATTAGTCATCTCAGAAGTGTGTCCTAGTGGCTACAAAAAGCCCGCATTTGTATTGATCGTCTTAGGGGAGTGTCCTAGTGGCCACAGACAACTTGCCTCTCTTTTTAGTCCTCTCAGAGGTGTGTCCTAGTGGCCACAGAAAGCACGCCTCTGTGCAACAATTTTAAGCACAGATCCGGGTTACAAGACATACGTATGAGACATACAAGAAAAGAAACTATTGATTCTTGTGAACGTTTAATAAAAAGCGTGTAGTCCAGGTATTATCACCTGTCTTACTGACGAGGTAGTTACACGTTAACAATGGTACCCAATTATATGACATGAATAAACTGATTGTGCAGGGGCTTTGTGTTGCGGTTGTGGAAGGGGGGGATGCTAGTGACCTGTGACAGTAGGATACAACTACACATAATATACATGGAGCTATAGTTCTAGCCTGGTTCCTATGACAGATCCAGACCCAAGAGAAATCAGAAAGATCCATTAATGCCATAAAAGCTTCATTTTTTTACCCTTTAATTAATCTTGAAATATAAGTTCTTGCTTTAGAAGTTATTTGCAATGGACATAGAGATTTTGAATTTTTGTGATTAATGTCATTTGAATGTCTGGTGGTTTCCCAATGTGTGAAGTACTGCGATAAGCGGTTCTAACTTTAGATTGCTGTGTGGAAAATCATTTAGCTGCACTGGTGGTCTTGTCAAGATCCGCCATTAGATTCTGAGTACAGCAATTACCTGGTACCATGTGCACACACGTCTATCTGGCCTGACCATTATTTATAGAAGCGAAGTCAGTGACGTAATCCGCCTATCCTTTTTTTTTTTCCATATGCTTGGACTGACAAGAGCAAACGTACAGATTGAACACAAAGTTATGGGAATTTCCATGATTGTAATTTTATTAAAGCTTGAAATTAAAAATTAGAAAAGCCAGTCTAAGATACCGTGAAGACATGGAAGCATGGAGGCCCTTGTTAGTCGCACTGATTTCTGCCTTTTTCTACAGTAGGTTATGTTAGGAAGATGTGGAACATCAAAAAACAAAACAAAATAGTGCTGTCATTTTAACTGTGTTCGTGTCCGATTCAATAGTATTCATTTTTTTAAATACGTGTGATTTATAAAAAAAAAATTCTTATCTATTTTTTAGATCGAAAAATATTTAAAAGCGGTGATCGATAATCATTTAAAAAAAGAGAAAAATCTTTCTTTAATTCCAGGGTTGTAATTAAGCATGATGGAAACAAAGGAGAATGTACTGATAGTGGGAATATTTTCCTCAACAACAATTAACATTTTCTTTTTAGGAGTATGTTAAATAGAAAATTCGAAATGATTCAGATTTTTCTCGTGTATTTCAAGTACTATCCGCATGACTTTTGAAATACACAAATGCATTTACATGTGCTATATAACTTTAACGATACAATAATAACATCAAATCAACAATCAGTCTTTAAATAACTAATTCTAGATTAGCACGAACATTCTAATACATATATATATATATATATATATATATATATATATATATATGTGTGTGTGTGTGTGTGTGTGTGCGTGCGTGATTGAAAAAAAAATCAATCTTTTTATTGTCGTTATCCTCATACAAGTGTTAGCATCGCTCCAGACGGCTGTTCCAGCCCGCCTCCATCAAGATTGTAGAGATGAGTACACTATAAGGAAACAATCGGCCTCATCAAGTTCTCATGACGTATGTAATCTATTACGAGAGTATGTCAACTGCTACCACAAGTGAGTATAGAATTTTAACAGAGGAACCTCCATAAATCAATGACGTGTGTAGAAATGTGAATTTGTCCTTAGTCGAAGCCGTATGAATAGTTCTGCACCTCTAATCGTCAGAGTTCCTTTCAGTAAAAGAAGAAATACAAATTGAGGCGATTATTACAATGTTCCAAAATATTAGATTGATATGGTCTTGTTTTCAAGAAATTCTTTTAAGTAGAGTAGTCAAAATGTGGTGTCCAATGTCTATACGGAGTCCATCAGAACAATGTACAAACTTCAGGATAAAAATTGAAGAAATCCTAAAAAACAAGTTGTTTCTTGTAAATCCATTACAGAATGTAACATCAGGCAGTGGGATATGGGGCTGGACATTTGACAAAGCAGACATACAAGTGAGGCACTTTATAAGAATCCGAATTCGTGCTCACTCCCCACCCCCACCTCAAACCACAAGGCTAGTAACCACACATTTTTTAAGCACCTGAACCATATTAATATTTTAAAAACTCCCCTCCACTCTTACACCATAGATTTATTTCGCCATTTCAAAAAAAAAAAAAAAAATTATGCATAAAATGCACACGTTAATTTATATATATATATATATATATGTTTAAAGAATCTCATTTAGCGCAATATCGAGAATGTTATTTCAAGAAATCAGTGGCATCATATTTCCTTCATAATACTCTTGAAAAACCTGAAAAACTGATTTTTGGACGTTGGACTTGTGGGGGTGACTGAATATTTGAAAAAAAATGTGTTGTTTATAGCAACGCGTCTATGTGCCAAGTTTCAGCTCGATGTGTTGACGGGAAGTTTGTCAGTCAGTCGTACGACGATTTTGCCAGCCACGAACCAATGCTAAGTACATATTTGTTAAAACTACACTTAATGTCATAATGTTTTAAACTCATTACTACAAATTTAACTTTATAATATAATTAAAGTCTTCCTTGCTGGTCTATAAACAGTGAGTTTTAGTGCTTCTCGATTGTGATAAATTGCTGGACTGTAAATGTGTAACGTGTATTTAGGTTATGGTGGCTGTATTTTTTTTTAAAATTGTAATGTATTCACGTTTTTCTAGACCTGAAGTGTGCAAACATTCTTTCTGAGTGACTTTTAGAAGCATTTCTCTAAACAATCACATGACTATTACTTAAGCAAAGTGGCGCAGCTGGGGTGGGGGGGGAGGTGTGGACCGCACCGGATGACATTATCGCAGGGAGGGGGGGGGGCGGCACCAAATTGAAAAATTGCCTATCTACAGAGCACACTCTGCTCGGTCTAACCGAATTTCGTAAAAGTATAACCGATGTGTAAATTGTACACTCATGAAACTGATCCAAAGACAGTAACAGGAAGTTAAACGTATCAACAATTCATAGAAATATAGCTTTCCATTGATATGCATGGGTGATTCTAAGTATATTTTACAGTTCTTACACAATGACTTCTCCACCTTCAATTATCTTGTTTTTGTTATGGTCATTTTATATTTTGGACTTATTTTAACTCCTGCGAGGGGGGTGGGGGGTGGGGTTCGACACCATGAGCTCACCGCCACGGTTGACACCAGCCCCAGCCCCGCCACTGCTTATGCCGTCTAATTCAATTGATCGATAGTTATTGAATCGTCGGTTATTCATCGATCGTTTCGACTAATTGATGGATAACGATAATTTAAACCAGTGGTTCTCAATCTTTCTAATGCCTCGACCCTTTTATACAGTTCCTCGTGTTGTGGCGACCCCCCCCCCAACCACAAAATTATTTACATTGCTACTTCACAACTGTAGACTGTATGTGTTTCCCGATTGTCGCGACCCACAGGTTGAGAACCGATGATTGAAACTAGCCCATTTTTAAAATTTCAATATTTATAATAATTCATGGTTTGAAATACAAATTATTATTTAATGTGAATCGGTGCATGTATGTAAAACAACAACATCAACAGCAAAAACTACAACGTGTTTTACTCTCAAAGAGTTACTGCTCTAGCCATACCGTTTGACTTATTGCCCTGCTGTGTGCATCGACCATACGAACTTTACTTTCCAGCGCATCCGATGTTGATACAACGAAACAAGAGGAGGCGCTCGGTTTGATGTCGTTCATTTCAACGGAGTTGGAACCCTTCAAAGACGGCGATGGCTGCACGACCGAGGACCTCATCCACGGGCAGCCACCCTTCTTGATGAAAGTGGTGAACAGGAAGATAATCTCCTGTGTGCGTTACATCATGCACACCTTCGCAGGTTGCCTTATAGGGATCATTCTGGCATTCTTCAACCGCCTTGCATTGAGGCATATGATGGGGATAACGATGGTTTTCTTTCTCATGCTTTTAGGTATCATATTTTTTAACCTTTACAAAATTTACTCCCTAACTGCTATTGATTAAATCTATTTATTTTATAGTTGAGCTGCAGGATTTGGTTGTTCAATTCCACAACCTGACATTTACATTTATTTTTTTTTTAATTTAAATTATATATATTTTTTTTATATTAGTGGTTAAAAATAAAACACTTTGTTTTAAAGATTGACATAGATGTCGTTGAATATCAATGGAGAAAAATACATTATTTTAAAAAAAAATTTTTTAAACAAGTTTGGTAATTTTTACCTGATAATTGTCGGACCATTTAAAAACAGATGAAATCTAAAACAAGACGCAATTAATCTACATCAATAATTTATAAGGCTTTGCTTGGAGGTTTCTACTCGCTGAAGAAATATTACATTTTTCAATTCGTTTATTATGCATTTGATAATTTTAATGCGTCCTAAGATAAGACACGTGTTTTGTAAACCATATTTTTATTTCATTTGTTTTAAAATACAAGTTCACAGTTCGCGACCGACAGAATCTCAATTTCAACTTATTTTTGTTGAATGCAATATAACATAAACCGGAACTCATGATTAGACTTGGTGTTAAAGTTACACACATTTTTGTCCACGATAAAATAGTACTATTCTGTATTGATGTGAGGTCCATTTTATGGATAAGAAGCAAATTTCCTCAGGGTGTATTCCAATTTGGATTTGGAAAAAATTTTCTAGAGGTAATTAGCGGACTCATTTAGCATCCTGTCAAAAGCACTTCGCTAAAGTACCAATCAAAATATCCAGATTTTAAAAAAAAAGTAATCTTGTCAACAATGAGGTTATAGGACAACAGTTATAAGTGTTTTATAGGACAAACATTATAAGTGTTTAAGTGTTTTTTTTTAATATAAGTTACAATTACATTACATCATATGTTGTGCTGTATACATTGAGTTTCATTTCAGTCACTTATACATTTTAGATAATTTACTAGAAGTAGTTATTTTAAGTTAATTGAAGACTTCTATGTTTATTGTGTTTCCTTGCTTTGTACAAACAAGGTGGTGTCAGAAGAAGGGTAGAATTTAGGCCCAAGCATTACGTAGCGTGAAGGAGCTCGTGACACATGCATGCATGCATGCATGCATGCATACATACATACATACATACATACATACATACATACATACATACATACATACATACATACATACATACATACATACATACATACATACATACATACATACATACATACATACATACATACATACATACATACATACATACATACATACATACATACATACATACATACATACTTAAAAATACATACATAAAAAGATAAATATAAACAAGCATATATATTGGTATTGATTTCAAGTGACACATGTATGGAACAACATTCTAACTCTGTTACTAACACTATTTTTTTGTTGATGCCTTTTTGTTGCATTGATCGTGTTTGCTATTCGATTACTGCTGCTTAATCTTTACATACAGCCACTGTTACATATAAGCTGTTATACAAAAATAGCCTTGCTGATTACAACATATTGCTATGTTGGCGCTACCCATGTACAGTGTTATTGATTAAAGCATATAGCAATCACGTGATCGATCTTTTTTGAAGAGTTTCCCTGGAGGAATACAACGTGGTCTTATCGGGAAATATTTTTAATAGATCTGACGCAAAAGTTTGATTCGTAGAATGACATTTCTGGAAACATTGAGTAGGGCAATTAAAAACTGAAACTTTAAGCTGTGACCAAATCCCAGCGGGACTTTTATTCAGAGTCGGACACTCAACCATTTACATATATATCGTTTTCTTCTTCCAAATTTTGAGGGACCACGATCAACGTATTGATAATTATGGCACGTCGGTCTCAAGAGAGGGGGAGGTGGTCGCCTTGTAACTGTATTTGGATGAACCAGTGGCGTACCTGGGCGGGGGGTGGGGGGATAGGGTGGTATTTTATTTTAAAAATTAAAATAAAATAATTATATTACCACGTTAGCGATATTCAAATAACGACGAACGTTTGAAGTTGAACCTCAGGTCATTGCCGATGGCGCACCGATGCAAGCAACGTCGCTGGGGCACAGCCACCACTCAGGCGCTCTCCTGACTGCCTCATCCAAGACTTTGACTTTTTTTTTTGTTTCTCCTATGACACCCCCCCCCAACTATTGTTAAGAGTCAGTGGGGGGGGCTGGGGGGCTCTTTTGTCACCACAAACGCTGCGCCCCTGACTGACGTGTAAAAAGAATAAATAAAGAAAATAGAAACGGCTCCCCAAAATGGACGTTTTTAAAGTTTATCAGACACCGCGCCTTGTTACAGTTTGTAAACAAATTTCAATGTGTATCTCATGGCACAAAGACAATTTGAGAATGGAAGTTTATGTGGACGGAGAAGTCAACACAAGATTAGCGATACTGTGAATGTGGTTCTTAGAAATGCAGACAGGATTTATGTCAAGCCTTTATATTATAATGAACACGGCGAACTCATTCAATGTCCAGTAGCAATCCTTGATAGTGGGGTGCGATTATTTTGGCCCACGGGTGTTTGATTCGAGCCAATGATCTCGAACAGCTTTTGTGAAGTAACTCGCGAGTTGCTTTTTTTTAAACTGGACAAAGAACCAGTGCCGTTCTTAGGAGTTTGGGGGCCCTAAGCTTGGAGTGTAGGTTGGGGGCCCCGGAAGGGGGGTCTAAGGGTGGAGCTCCCTCGAGCTGAGGAGAAAACACCACCCACCACTGTGGCACCTCCATTCTGCCTTCATCAATGTTTCCTTTTTGCTCGCGTGTACCTACTAACCATATTGATAATTCCGCCACTAGAGAAAATGTGTACTTCTGAAATATATGGACATGCAGGTAGTAGTGGGGCCCTAGGCGGTTGCCTAGTTTGCCTATATGCCTAAGAATGGCTCTGGTGGCACTTATTTCCCCAAAGCTCCCCCCTGCTGCTTCTCTTCCCGTGCCTCCGAATTCAACTGAGAATGATAAATTTCAGGACGAGGAAGGTGACGTAAGTGAATCAGACGGCTGCAGTGCCAGTTTTAAAAAAAACCGGGGGATCGAGGGTGCCTCACCGGGGCCCCCTCACGTTCAGGGCCTTACGCGGATGCAGAGTCCGCGTATGCCTAAGAACGGGCCTGAAAGAACCCGCTATAAAAAGCAAATCCTTAGAGGTGAATGTTGTTTTAATGACAAAAGTTAGTAGAATTACGACTGTTAAACAATTGCTCCGCCACAAACATTATGGAATGTATACTTTGGGGACACACTCTGTTAAGAACAAGACTCGTTATTTAAATAAGGAAACGAGACAGAGATATAGAAGAAGAAATCGTTGAAGATACAAAAAATTGTTGACACATGAGGAATTGATTTAAAAGAAAGAAGACGGAATGTAAATGTATACTCTTTGTTACCCTCATAATTTCAATGAGTGGATCAATTATTTTTTTATTGTGTCTTGATTTAAACTTTCCGGACAATTTAGAAATATTAATTTTTTTTTATATCTGAAACACTTTTTCAAATAATCATCCACGTTGTTTTCGCTTTTTTTTTGCGTCGGATATAGCTCAATAATTATCTTTTTTGTTTTTAAATTTTAAAAAAAAATTCACATGTACGCATTTATTTCTGGTGGACGCTTCTTTGTTTATTGCTTTTAATAGAGATCTTATTTCAGGAAGGACACTCTGTAAAGTTAATTAATTCCATGTCGACATAACTGCGGGAGCTGGGTCTGGGTGTGGTTGGACGCCGGCATTCCATGTCCAAACTGCTAAAGGTCAAGGGGATCGTGTGATGAAGTCGGAGCTCTATGTCCTCGCCAATGGGGAACAGCTATTCCAGATACGCTGAACTCTGACTGGTGATTCTGTGACAAAATACTAACACACACTTGTTTGATCGCGTGCCGAGTTTAGTCAAAGGACGGATTAAAACAGGACAACAAAACAAAACAAAAAAAAAGAAAAAAAAAAGAAAGAAACAAGTTAATACATCTGTAATTATTTAGAGAAAAAAAACATTCATTTTTAGCATACGGATATAATGTATTAAAATCCTTTGAAAGGTTTGGCGTGTGCTGGTATGTTCCCGGAACAGTTGATTCTTAAGATAATGATTAAACATAGAAAATATTCGAATACCAGACCAGAGTGCTAATATTTTTGTTATATTCTGGAAATCGATTCACAAAAGATACTATTTGTATTTTTAATGAAAACCTATGTGTGGTGTTTGCAGAAAAGAAAGAATTTAAAGTATTAAAGGGAGAATACCGGCGTCTCTGACATACACTTAAAAAATATCTAGTAAAGTCCCCTGAAAAAAACATCGGATTACCGTTTCCCAACGTGGGGCAAAATAGGTTTGGAATCACGTGCTACAAATGTAGCGTGATATCCAGAGACAGAAGCTTTGGATTCAGAAACAAAATATTAGGGCTCTGCGTATTCGAATCCAACTCAATGAAATGACGTAACATTTTTTTTTAAAAATGCAAAATAATTCACCAACCAATTCTTATTTGTACAGAGCTGCACTGTCAGACAGTACGACTCTGATATCGGTGACTCGAGTGTGAGATCGAGCTGACCACTCTTGAGTAAAGAGTAACCACTAAGATGACACCTTTTTTTTTAACCCTTGTCGTGACGCACAGTAACAATTGTTACTTTTGCGTCTCCAAACTGCCACAACATTTTATTTTTTTTTCTTTTTTTTTTAAAAATTTGTAGAGACCTAAAATCTCTTGATGTATCTAAACGTTTGTTTTGAAATTGTGTCGACAAAATTTCAGAAAAAAATGTAATATAAAATCTTTACCCGACATAAGGGGTCGAGTATTTTTGTATCCATAGCGTGTGGCAGAGGTGTATTTGAACCTTTAACGTTTTGTAAGAAAATATTCAGTGTGTGCATGATTTCTGTAGGCTTTTCAACATCTACGCATCATCACGGTTTAGTTATGTAAGACAATGGCGGCTGTTTTTAGTTATATTGTTATCGTTCGGCATCCCCATCTCTACACACAGCTGGCTGTAGAAGTAACCCTTCTCTGGTATAGCATCGTCTATCGTCTACCGTCTACCGTCTACCGTCTACCGTCTATCGTCTACCGTCTATCGTATATCGTCTACCGTCTATCGTCTACCGTCTATCGTATATCGTCTACCGTCTAAAGTCTACCGTCTATCGTCTACCTTCTATCGTCTACCGTCTATCGTCTACCGTCTATCGTCTACCGTATATCGTCTATTGTCTATCGTCTATCGCCCACCGTCTATCGCCTATCGTCTATCTCCCGTATTTGTTGCAAATTTTTTTGTG